CAAGCCTTGTGCATTATAGGGAATAATATTCTGAATATTTTACAGTTGGTTTGATACCTTTATCTCAAACTGTGTCTGAGTTTAATTAATTTAAGTGGGTACAGTATATAAAACATGACAAATATGGATTCAGTACTGTATAGAAAAACAGTAAAGGCATAATCTGGAAAACCAAGACTTGTGCATTATAGGGAATAATATTCTGAATATTTTACAGTTTGTTTGATACCTTTAGATCAAATGGTGTTGTCGTTTAATGGATTTATATTATTGCATACATTAAAAGTTGTAAAATTATTATAAAAAACATAGAATTGTAATTCCAAAAACGGAGCTTTGTACGATAACAGGTATGTTTTCCCGAACATTTTAGTATTGGTTTTATATTATAATGTCACGTAGTTAAATTGTTAAATTAATTTAAATGGTTAATTTATTTATTTTTTATTCCTAGAAATTAAGCCTGGTGCAACATAAAGGGCATATATTTATGTCTATCTGAGCTAGTTTGGGCTCAAAACATAAAAGCCACAAAGAGTTTAATTGACAAAAAACCTGAATGTCTAATAAATGTCAAACGTCAAACTAACTTTACCGCCGTATTCAAAACCTACAATTACATTAGAAAACCAGTCACTTCCTGATATATTAATTTGATCTTATAAGTTATATAACTACCTCATTCTTACAACAGCAATTATGATAAACTTAAAAAAATGTTTGTAAATTACTTCGGGCTAGGATAATGAGTTAATCCACCAGCAAAACAAAAAGCTAGCATTCTGACAAATATAGGTAGGCCAAATTTTACCTCTCAGACAACCTGGGAGTTCATTGACATTAATGCAAAACAGGCCCATGATTTGCATTAGCAAATAATACAGTTATAATCCAAGCGTTAATAACGTACACAATTATTTTTACAGTAATTTTCTTACCTGAAAAGATCAATCCAGAGTCTGAGTGTCGTCAGACTTCTTTGGCGCACTCCTGAAGAATGTTTTGAAATGACATATGCCTATTGGTTGGCAAGAAAGAAAAGGCGGGGATTAGCAAAGATTTTAATACACTATTAAGATATCTTCTTTGTTTTTTGTTTTTTTGACTAGGCAGCATGTTTATTCAAGATATCTCTATTGAGATTTGTCCTAGTCACAAAGCTAAATGCAGATATCTATGGCAAGCCGTTTTAGCTTAAAATATCCCCAGTGTTACTCGTCGTAATTGCATTTTTACTAGTAACAAATCAATTAGAGAGCTCTACAACTGAATTCTTACTAGTAACAATGCCAGTTAGAGAGCTCTCTAACTGGCATTGTTACTAGTAAGAATTGCATTGTAGAGCTCTCTAATTGGAATTCTTACTAGTAACAATGCCAGTTAGAGAGCTCTCTAAATCAATTCTTACTAGTAACAATTATAATTAGAGAGCTGTCTAATTCAGTTTTTACTAGTAAAAATTCCAATTACAGAGCTCTCTAATTCAATTCTTACTAGTAACAATTCCAATTAGAGAGCTCTCTAAATGGAATTCTTACTAGTAAAAACTGAATTAGAGAGCTCTTTAATTCAATTACAGAGCTCTCTAATTCAATTGTTACTAGTAAGAACTGAATTAGAGAGCTCTTTAATTCAATTACAGAGCTCTCTAATTCAATTGTTACTAGTAAGAACTGAATTAGAGAGCTCTTTAATTCAATTACAGAGCTCTCTAATTCAATTGTTACTAGTAAGAACTGAATTAGAGAGCTCTTTAATTCAATTACAGAGCTCTCTAATTCAATTGTTACTAGTAAGAACTGAATTAGAGAGCTCTTTAATTCAATTACAGAGCTCTCTAATTCAATTGTTACTAGTAAGAACTGAATTAGAGAGCTCTTTAATTCAATTACAGAGCTCTCTAATTCAATTGTTACTAGTAAGAACTGAATTAGAGAGCTCTTTAATTGGAGTTCTTACTAGTAAGAATTGAATTACAGAGCTCTCTAATTAATTGTTACTAGTAAGAATGCAATTGCAGAGTTCTCTAATTCAATTACAGAGCTCTCTAATTTAATTGTTACTAGTAAGAATTGTATTAGAGAGCTCTCTAACTGTAATTCTTACTAGTAAGAATGTAGCTGTAGAGCTGTGGAATTACATTCTTACTAGTAAAAATG